CTACGGTTCGGTACCCCGGCCCCCTTTCCCCGGTCCCCCGCCGGCCTTCCGGGTAACCGTACGTACCGTACCTACCCGCCCCCCTCCGCACCGTCGGTACAGTGACCCCGCCCCTCCCTCGCGCTCGGGTACAGTGACTCCGCTCTCCCACTGCACTCATTTCTCAGACGGGAGCTTGAGCCCAGAGATGGGACCTGCGGGAGGTCAAGCAGCCCTTACTGCTAGGGAGGCCCAGACGTAAACATAGGCTGCCTGGTGACCACGCGACAGAAAGAGTTTCTTCCCGCAGTTTTTACTTCGTGAGATGCTGTGCCATGTACCGTCCTTTATCGCGCACTTGCTAATGTAGCTTTTTCCCTAAAGGAAACCAAGAGCAAGATGGGAGTCTGCGGTCGGCCACCTCAGGCAAAATGCTTTCTGCTGTTTCATTTTGCCCCAGGTAAGGAAACAAAGGTAAAAGTCACAATCCCTTCTGCTTAATACTGTCTTACGGTTATTTGTGACCAGCTATCCACAATTACTACGGTTTATGCATTTTATTACCCTTTATTCTGTATTTATCATAATAGTTTCGCTCTTGATCAAATACTACTTTAATTTAAAATATTCGATGACATCTTGGGTTGGGGGTGGGAGCTACTGCTTCATGGGTACAGAGTTTCGGTTTCACATGATAAACATTTTGGAAACAGGTGATGGTTGCACACTGCGAATGAAATTAATGTCACTGAATTATACCCTTTTAATGGTTAAAATGGCAATTATTATATATATTTTACCACAATAAAAAATGGAATAGATTTTGAAGTGGGGCTTCCTGTATACCCTTTCAATAAACAGATTTTAGGGTGCAAAAAAACAGCCTGTGACTTCCATCACTTTGAAAACCCTTTCTCTGGTTGAGCAAAGTTAAGACACCCAGAGGATCCGCGCACTGTTGTCTTAAGAGCAATGTTACAGCTTAGAGGTAAGAAGCAAGTCATCGGTATCCACGGAAACATGAACTTGGGAGAAAGAGGCAACTGTGCCTTCAAGTCTGGAGAGCGTGCCCTCGGGGCCCCTGAGGCAGCGCGCAGACCAGCGTGTGTTCATACACGTGTCCTGACGCTCAGGCTTCTTATAGGTCGTCAACAGCTACTGATGTGGACGCTGACCCTCTCAGTGTTTAACTGAAGACCCCAAGTACTGGACGTCAGGGAGGCTGGGGGGTGGGGTCCACCTTGGAGCCACCCAAGCACACGGCACCATGAACGTGCTGACTGGCCCTGAGGCGCTCACTTCACACTGGTTAATTTTATCAGACTTTCACCTCAATACACTATTTTCAAAAACAAGTAATTGGGGGCCGGTGGGGGGAGCACTGTTTAGAATCCTGGGAAAGACTGCAGTGGAGAGCTGTGCAGCAGCCACGCAGTTGTAACCTCTTCCAAATCCCCTCTGATAAAAACAGTGCCGCTGGAGACCAAAACCACAGCCGCCACCTGCAAAAAGTCTCCATCCACAAGGCACATCCAAGCCCCAAACACCGGTGGGCGGGCGAACCTCCAAGAACTACCAGACCCTGCAGCCCCGGGAGGGAGAGCGTTGAGCGTCCAGTGGACCACGAACAGGAGAATCTCAAAATCTCCCACAGCCGCTCCTGGGAGCCAGACTGAGGGGGAACCAAGGGAGCCCCTGGTGGATGGCAAGGTCTGAAGGAGGGGGGCCTCAACAGCCCCAGGACCTCTCATACCTGACCTTTCAGTACCTCTCACGGCAGGACCCACTGAGGACAAATGTGCGGGACTGAACCCCAAATTCACAGGCTGGGAATCACAGGGCAATGGAGAGAGAAGATCCAGGGAACGGAGAAGGAGGGTCAGAGCCCCAGAATCTAAGGACGAAGCTGACTTGGTGAGCACTTCCCACAACCAACAGGAGGGGGAGCGCTAGAGCCACTGAACGGCCAAAACCGTCCTGACCTTGACCCCGCCCCCACCCCAGCCACCAAAGTTCAGGAACACAGATTTCAAGTGGAAATAACCTAAAAGAATGATGATTGGATCCCACACACGATTATTATAAGAAAAAAGTACGGGAGGCAGAATAACATGTTTCTAGTCAAGCAAAGGTTGCCAGAAGATTTGTCCACAAAACAGAAGTGGGTTTAACAAAACAAATGAAGACTACGTGGACGGGCAGAGCAGCGAAACCCAGAAGCAGAGGGCGGGGAGCTGAGGAAGAGCTGGAGAAGGCTCAGCTGAAAGAAGATGCCAACACAACAGACTGTGCTTGACCAGGAGTGGAGGGTGAAACTCAGGACAGCTTCGCTCATGTAAACCTCGCGGAAAAGGTGAATGGGATGGAGAGAAAGTGGCAGACGAGCCAAGCAGAGAAGACCCAACACCCCTGTGACAGGGACGCGGAGGACAAAGAAAGCAGCAGCAGAACTTGGACGTGAACATACACTAAATGCAATAATTCAAGAAAACTCTTTCAAAATTAAAAACAAAACCCAAAAAACGAGGACCTGAGGTTACATCCTGAAAGGGGAAAGCTCGCTGAGAAGAAGCAGCGCTGAGATAGCCTGTTAGAATTACTGAGTTCTAAAGAAAAAGAAAAGAAAAAACCTCTGGGCAACAGGCAAAAAAAATCCCCTTACAAGGAAAGGAAATCAAATGCTTTCAGACTTCCCAACAAGAGGCTTTTGTGGACAGTGACAGAGACGATTCCACACAAGGATGCGTGAGCCTGCGTTTTATCCCCAGGAAAGTGGACTTTCAGTGTGAAGCCCGCTGACACGTGAGACCTCGGGGCACTGCTCCCGTCAGCCTCCCAGAGAAGTCAGCTGGAGGAGAGGTGCTCAAAGACGGCCCCCGAGCCCCCTTCACCACCACCGAGGGGCGTGGCGCCGACCTGTGCGGGCGGGGCGCCCTGTCTGCCGCACCCCGCGCAGGGCGATGCCACGGTGCCAAGCAACTGGGCTGAACCTCCAGCGCCACGTGCACGCTGCCTGAAGACCCTAGGAGGACTTGGATGAGCGAGTCTGCACCAGTCACCTACAGGGTGAAGAGGGCAAGGATGGGGCTGGACTGCTTTGACAGCCTTGATTTTAGATTCGATCTTGAAACAATGTCCATGTAAAAAGGTAATTACAAAATAAAACCCATTTTTAAAAAAGTTACCCTAAATGAAAAATAAAGTGGAACAGACGCGTCTAAGTGATCATCCCCACCTGCTGGTGGGACCCAAGGGAAACGAATGGAACCACTTCAAAGCCTCTCCAGGGCACCCGCCTGCAGACCGAGGGGGTCTTCACCAAGGACGAAAAGAACGCCAGAAACTGAACGGGACGCTCACCCCGCACCTGCGGGTCGCCTGCTGGTGCTGCCATCCTGAAGCTCACGAGGTTAAGCTCCCCTCTTCTGGTGCCTCCGGGCCCTGGGCTCCAGGCCGGGCTGAGCGTGAGTTTGGATGGAGAACTCCACGCTGACTGTGATGAGTCTTACATTTGAAAAACAACTTGCCTCTCAGCTCTGGCCACCGAAAAGGCCCAGCAGCACTGGCAGACCCAGGGGCCACCAGGATCCCAGGGCCCGGAGAGAGGCTGTTCCCCACCAGACGAGACAAGCAGAAATTTGACCACTGACCAGACAGGCATGATTTTAGGAACAACTGTTGATGTTTGGAGGGGGGGGTGTCTGTGTGTTTCAGAGACACACATGCCCAAACATTGGTGTCCTTATGCCTGGGGTCTGTGTCAGGGGGCTGTTCAGGGTGGCGGGAGGTGGCGGGGCGTGGGTGAAGCAGGTTGGCCACAGGTGATGATGCCGGAGCGGAGTAATGGGTCACGTGGGTTCCCTGCACTTTTTCTGTCTCCTCTGTACACATGTGAGGTTCTGCAAGCAGGAATCTGAAGGGAAAGCTACTCCTGAAATCCTGGCCTCATCAAATCCTTTGCCCCAGTGAAATGCAGTCTTTGTTTTGCTTTTGTGAGTTGCAGACACCCCAGAAAGGTGCACCGAGAGAGACAAGTGCTGGTCATTTCTGCGGCTGTTTCCTCCAGAACACACCCCAGTCTTAACAACCGTGCGAAGACTCAAGTTCCTTCTTTGATAACGACTCTGTTCTGGGTACCACGCACCAGGGCGGCTCCTGAGTGCTTTCCAAATGTAATGTAATTTCCCCCTCACAGCTGTCACCACGGTCACCTGCTGCACATGCGAACATGAGTCACAGCCCTGGGAGGTGGCAGAAATCCGGGTTGGAAGCCGGCGTTCCGTCACCTCCGGTGGAAACCTAGTCACCTGGCAGACAGATGACCACCAGGCTGAAGGCAGCACTCTGACGTTCCAGGTCAGCCTTAAGCATTGCCAGCGAGCTTGGGAGCATTAGAAATTTTGAGAAGTTGGGGTTCCAGGTTGCAGGGGGGTTGATGGCACGTTTGAGCTAGGCGGCTGGTGGATGAAGGGCTGAGGATGGGCCAGGTCCCCGCGCAGGGTGAGATCGTGCTCAGGAGCCTGCAGCTCATCTGGAGGGCGGCAGGAGGGAGGCGAGCCTTTCCCCGGAGTCAGTGAAATGTGGAGCAAAGTTCACCCGGCGAGTTAATAACTGCCTCCTCACCACCGAGTTACACAAGTGCCTGGCAAGGTCACCCCTGGCGTGTGTGGCTGTGATTAACGCTGCTCCTTCCTCAGCCAAACCAAACACTCCTGGGGCGGGAGCCGGGCCGGGCAGAGGCCCCACCTCTGTCTGTAGCCCTGAGGCTGCTCCTCCCCCACCCTGGGGCTCTGCCTCTCCCGGCCTCCGCCTCCCCCAGTCCTGCCCTTCACACAGCCCCTCCCTGGGGCTGCGATGGGCTGCTCTCACAGGATCTCACCGGATCTGACCTTGGCCCCCCAGCCACGCTCACCTCCAGCCCCGTCTCCTCACGGGCTGAGCATGGCTGAGGGGCAGGAGGCCATCCAGGGACATGCTGTTTGAGTCTAACAGCAGCCCCTTTACAAAAGCCACCAGTGTCTTCGAGGTCCTGCCTTAGGAATGACAACAGCAGGGTCACACACACGGCTCTCCCCTGGCCACTGAGTTCTCCCAGAAACCGCACCTGAGGGACACCACTGGGTGACACACCCAGGTGACAACAGGATGACTGAGAGGCTCTGAGGGCCAGAGCACGCCTCTGACTCTGCCCTTGGACCTGGCACTGGCCCGCCCACCCTGGCCGGCTGGAGATCACATGGTAACTGGAGTCAGGGTTGCTTTCTGAATTAAGGGTGGAAGGTGAGTGCAAAATAGAAGGGGCCTGGGGGAGGGCGTAGCTCAGGGCTAGAGAGCGTGCCTAGCCTGCGCGAGGTCCTGGGTTCAGTCCCCCAGCACCTCCAGTAAAACAAGTTAATAAACAAACCTAATTACACCCCAACCAAAAACCAAAACAGTGAAAATGCTTTAAAAGAAAAAAATAAAATAAAAAAGAAGGGGCCCCTATGGAAGGGTCCTGGCTGCATCCACGAAAACACGAAGATACATACGGGCCCCACGCCCCGTACCCCAGGGACACGCTGTCCCTGACGAGGTCAGACCCTCAGCAGGAGAGTCCCACCGCCGCCTTGCGGCATGGTGACTTTTCCATTAACACCTTTCAGGGCAAAATGAGCTGCGCAAGGCCCACCTGTCTCCACGGACACGTGCAGTCGCTGGCCGTTGCAGAAGGCGCCGCGACCCCTCCGGCCGGTGTACAGCCGCTCCTCCGTGCAGTCGTGAATCACCCCGAACTCCAGCTGTGGGCACGGGCAGGGCAGACACACAGAACAGGACACAGTGACTGGGGGCCATGGAGCCCCAGGTCCACGACTGGCCAGGGGACGGGATGGTGACCACCTCTCAGCGGGGGGGCTGACAAGTCAGTCTGCGTTCAAGACCAGACCTGCATGTGGTTCTGTTTCAGAGTAACTATATACAATTAAGGGGATAAAATGTCGTAAAAATTGACACCATCCTCAATAACTAGAAAGTTATTGAAAAAGCTTCATTTCTCAGAAAGACCTCTTTTGCTTTTTCCTGGGAGGGCAAAAAAAGGCCGCTTGTGCCTCTAACCAAACCCTCCGAGAAACCCCCCAAATTGCCAACGTGGGAAGAATGAAGGAGGCATCGGTAGAGCCCGCCTGGGGCAGCCCAGGAAGAGACACACTCGCCAGAGGGGAATCTGAGCAGGCGGGGGCTGAGCGGTGCCCTCCCACCGCGCACAGGGCAGGTGACCAGGGCCTGGACGGCAGCCCCCCAGCGAGGGAGAGCGGGCCTGGCGGAGACCCACCTCCCCTGGTGCCCCGGCTGCCTTTCCCCCCAGACTCCCCTGCTCAGGGCTGACAAAAGCAAGGGGCCAGCCTGGGGATCAGCCGAGGGAGCGAGAAAGTGAGGAGGGGCCCTGGCCAACGGCCCGAGGAGAGCCTGGGCCGGCAGGAAAAGGGTTCATTTCCCGGGAGCCTGGGCCGCCCAGCAGCAAGAACTGTCCACCCCCTTCCCACGACCTTGGCCTTTGAGGGCTTCCTAAATCCAGGTCAGTCCTCGAACTAGGTGGCCTCTGAAAGCCCAGGCTGGGCAGGTGGGCCGGCGGCCTCTGCTGGCTGGAGGGAGGACAGACACGCCCCTCGATTGGGCCTCCAAGACGAGGCCGGACCACCGGGGCACAGCCACGTACCCGGAACCCCATGGGCGCAGCCTGGCCCGTCAGACAGCCCGCTGCGGGCACGTGTGCCCCCACCCCAGATGCCGGCACCCGGACAGGAGGGTCACCCTCTGGGCTTGCTGCCCACCCTACTCAGTCTCAACAACAACGTCTAACAGAGCAACAAGTGAGTGACTAACTCCTTGACAGGTTCCAACAGTGAAGTTCTTGCTTATCCTCAGGGTAAGGTCTTCACTCGGACACGGCCCTCCGCTCCCCGCTGGGGACCCTGCGCCACGTGAGGCTTGGGGTGAGGTGCGCTCTGCAGGGGGGCTGCTCCTGCAAGCCCCAGCCCCTGACCGGCTCGCCTGAATCTGTGCTAATGACGAAGGAAGCAGGGCGTGTCCTCAGCGTGACTGCTGAAGCTGCTTCACAAAGGGGAGCTTGGGTCCCAGGACTCCGCTCAGTCCCAGGGTCTGTGGGAACCTGAACCGGCTGCTCTGTCCGGCAGCGAGAGGAAGACGGAGAACTGACAGACTATTGGGATCAGAAGTGTCCTCCCAAAATAGCAGTTTCTTTTGTGTGTGACCAGATTACACGCCCCAGGGGTCAGTCTGAGGCTCACTGGGAACATGTGCCCGGAACTTCCCTCCAAAAAGGGCCACCAAGGTGGGGGGAGGGGGAGGGCCGGCCTGGAGCTGAAACCTATACACCCCAGACCGGTTTTCATTTGTTTACTTTCTTGGATTGGAAAAGCACATGCTTGGATTTACTGGTCACGATTAAGGCACAGGACGAGGTGAGCAAAACAGGCGTGCAGAACAGGACGGCAGTGAACAACACACAGGGGTTCGGCTGGCCCGCCCACCCGCCACGTACCTCCTGGTCCACAGCAAACCCGATGCTCACGGCCACGGTCGGGAACCTGCAGAGAACACAGACGGGACGCTGTGAGCTGCAAACGCCCGGGAGCGTGGTCATCACCTCTGTGTGGCTGGAGCGCACGGGACCTGTCCGCAGTGTGACCAGGTTTGTTTTCCTGAAAACCGCTTCGCACTGTTTCACCAACTGCTTCCAAGACAAGCAGGCCCAGCTGACGGGCTGGAGCACAGCTGACCTTGAAACAAGGCCGCGTCCTGACAGCCGTCACGACAGACAGGATTCAACGGTGACCATGGAGGACCCGGCTGAGATTTTAATAATCAGCCTTGTGGTTCTCAGAGACCGAAGGACAGCAGAAATCTCCGTCCCCCCAGCTTAGGCCAGACCCACGTCCCAGGAGGGCGTGTAGGGAACCGGCCACAAGTCCACCGAGAGCCCAGGTCCAAGACAACAAGGTCCCTCCTGGCCTGACCACTGGGGGAGCTTCCGCGCAGGACAGGAGGGGAGCCGCAGCGTGGAAGGCGGGTGGTGGCCTCACTGTCTACCTGCGGCTTACGTCTCCAAAGCAGCCTCTCCTTTATGTGAAGACCGGCAGAGCCTGGCAAGCAGGAACGAGGAAGAGCTGGTTCTAGCTCACAGGAGACTCCGAACCCAGCAGCACAGCCCGCCCGCCCGGGCTGCTGCCCCTCCCGCCCAGGCTGCCATCCCTGCCACTGTCCCCGCGGGCCGTGTGCCTCCTCGGCTGTGGGCCCCGCTCTCAGGAGGCCCTACCCCACTGGCTGTGGGACACAAGCGGGAACAGGTCCTGTCCGAGCGTTGGGGCCAAAGGTTTCCAAGAGCCTGTAGGCCGCGAGAGTCGCCATGGCCCTTGGGGCCCTCGACAGCATCCTGAACGTGCTGGCCAGCCCCGGGGCTGGTCTTCTGCAGGCTCCCTCTGGCCCCGGGGTGGACGTGTGGTCTCTGTCCACGGTGGGGCTTGTACTGCCCTGTCCCCACCGCCTGCACACGGGCCCCGCTCAGTGACACGCACCCAGGAGGGGAGTCCTGCGGTTCCACACAGGCTCTGGGGGGGGGTGTCATGCTCTAGAGTCTGGTGACACTTGCAAGTGTCACCAGATGGCTCTGTTCCACTCTCCAGAGGGCCACCCGTGTGGGCATGACTGAATTCCCAAGATGACCCAGGATAAGAAAAGGGCCACGTGGAATCACTTTACACACTTACCCATAAATATTCCACCTGAGATTAAACAGAGGGGTTGGCACCAGGAGGAGACCCCACACGTGGGACTGTGAGTGAGGAAGCGGGCGTCTCGGGTCATCTACAGAGTGGGCCCTCCCTGTGAGGTCCAGCTGGTGAGGAACGCAGGTCCAGGGCCACCTCACCCGCTGCATGGGGACGCGGGACCGGCTGGGAGCCTGTGTCAACCAGCTCTCCACACGTGTGATGGCAGAGAACCACCCTCCACGGAAACCACATGGCCCTTGGTGCCCTTGGGTCCTTGGACCAAGGGTACAGCCCAGCCCCCCATCAGTGCTTCTGGGGCAGGACATGTGTATCACCTCCCGGGGCTCACTCCCCTCCCCTGGGGCTTCTGACCTCCCTGAAACTTGCTGCTTTGGGCTATTTGCCCAGTCCAATTATTTGCCCAGTCCTGGCTGGCTCCTCATTCCCCAAGGCTGCCATCCACACCTCATGTTCCCCAGCGGCTGGACCAGACACCTGCTGTTATTTACAACCCTGCCCGTCTCTCCAGGGGGCCTCCTTAAGGGTCCTTCTCAAATCCACCCAACATTTAAATGCGACACACAGAACAGTTTTTAAGCAAGTGACAATTTCCTACGTGCCCTGAAGGTATCTCACAAATGGAAGACGGCTTGTTGGAAAAGTATCAAGACTTTATCCCCTTTGAAATGAGACTGCAAACCCACCAGAGGTTTGCTTATACACTCCTGCCTCCAAAAACGCCGCTTTGGAAAAGGCAAAGTCTGGGAGGAGAGGACAGGTCAGGGCTGGGGGGAGTGCAGGGGCAGGGGGCACACTCACCTGTGCACGAAGTTGCAGGTGCCGTCAATGGGGTCCACAATCCAGGTGGGGCTGGGGGTGAGCACGCACTTGGCCCCAGCGGCCACAGCCTCTTCTGCGATGAACCTGTGGTGTGCAGAGCTCGGCCTGAGAAGACGCCAGATCCAGGACAAAGCTCTCCAAACCCCAGGACTGCCAGGGACCATACAGACACGGTGAGATTTCACCTGGGTTCCTCCGGGCCAAACAGGGCAGAGTCTGGGAGGGACCGTCTGCATTTCGCTCTGTCTGATATTCTACCCCTTGGCAGGGCCCCAAAACACTATGTGACACCTCGATGGAGGCTGCCGGGATGCACCAGGGTGCAGCAGGCCTGGGGGTCCAAGGATGGACACCAGGAAGAGCTGAAAGAGTGAAACTGGACTCTGCCGTGACTTTGGTCTGCAGGACAGAGACGGTGAAGGGCCTGAGGACGTGGCAGGGGCCTGGCCTGGCACCCTCCATGGCAGTGCAGTGGCTGGGGCAGGCGTGAAGTGTCACCTACAGCTGACAACACCCCCGGCCCCAGTCTGCACCCAGCCTGGCCTCCCTGAAGCACAGACGGTGACAAGGCCCCCGTCCACCACATGGCGATGGAGCTGACACGTCTCCGTGGAGCCCCCTCCCCACTCCCCTCACACCCTGAACCCCCTCCTGCAGGAACACTTGGGCCACGCACCACAGACCCACGTCCCTGCCTGTCCTCTGTACTCAAGCCTCCTGGAAGCGTCCCCTCCGAGCGGCCTCCTACTCCCGTCAGCCTCCTGAACGAGACAATCGTCCCCAAGGCTCCCGGTTGGTCTGTCTCAGTGAAGGCACCGCCGGGAACCGGCCATTCGGTGGAAAACGTAGATGGAGCCCTCATGTCTCCCTCTTGTGCCCCCTCCAAGTTGGCTCAGAGCAGCTCAGGGAGGGTCCCCCGGGCAGTGTCTGAGCCCCTGCCTCCTGGAGCCATCTTCCGAAGCCCCCAGGCCGGCGCCCGACCCAGGTTCCCAACTGTCCCCAGCAGGTCAGGTTCACGCGGCACTGCAGAAGGCGCCCCGCGGGGTCCTCACACCACGTCCGGGTCTGAACTGTGTCGTCTTCAAGCACTTGAAGACGACACAGTTCTGCCAACGAGGAAAAACAAGCGGAAAGCAAGAAACACTGCGTGTCCCCCCGCTGGCGTGCAGCACGCGGCCAGGCGAGGTCAGCCCCGAAGAGGGCGGGGCGCTGGGCCGGCCGGCCCGGAAGCACTTCCCAGAGGCACCATGTGCCCCGAGACTTGGCTTCAGTGAAGTGGACATCGTTGTAATGGTCCCACTGGCACGGAGAACGCAGGAGTCAGCGCCTTAGTCTCACTAGTCCCTCAGGCCAGAGGCTATCAGGGCGGACGTGCAGAGCGGGCACTCCCGTCTCTGTGGGATGCATTCCGGCTGGCGTGTCCTGGGCAGACTCGCTGTGGGGTCAGAGCAGTGCCCCGTGTTCCGGTCACGGCAGATTGACGCACTGCTGTCACCAGCGCCATCACTCAGCAGGGCCCCCATCTGTGGGCCATCATTTGTCTCACAGGTTGTGGAATTCATGCTCTCTGTGCGCAGAGGCGTCCAGACATAAGTGATCTGAAACATGTCTGTGCACATGATGAGGGGACAGTATCGTTTTCTGGCTGCTGCTTCCACCCTGCTCACCGCTGTCCCCTGGAGAGACCCACATGTGAGAGGCAAAGCCCTGTGTTTGGGGAACTCGGGGCAGAGAAAGCCTGGGGCACCATCAGGGTGCAGAGGGCGGACCAGACGCAGTGGGACCGCTCCTGGCTCCGGGCCCCGTCCCTCCGCCTGTGGGGAACCGCCCCCTGTCACCACTCCCCTCTGAGGGGTTTCGGATCGTTTGGATCAGGTGACCCTGGCTGGCGCGGCTAGATAAAGAATGTCGTGGTGACAGTGTCAGAGGGGGCAACCTGGCCGGGCAGTGGGGCTGTCGGACCCCTGAGGCCGGACCTCACCCGGCAGAGGCGAGGCATTAGCTTTGCCGGTTTTCTGAGCCAAAGACAAGGAATTAAATCTGTCTTCAGTGTCTTCTACGGCTGTGTGATTCTCCTCCGCTGCAGCAGCTTGAGATCATGTTTTTAAAGCAAGCGGACCACATTCGAAAAACAGACACATGAAAGAACCAGGTGCCAGAGCGTGAACTGGCGCAAGGTCCAGGAGGCAGCGAGAAGACATCACTGAGCTCAAGGGTGGGCATGACCCACAGTGAAACTGGCCCCAGGACACTGGGGAGGGCCGTGGACTCTTCCTTTTCAGACTGATTTTCAGCGGGAGGCTGGCTGGAGGAAGTCGCTGGCCCGGGGGAAGGAGGGGGGCTGACATCTCGGGTGTGCCAGAGCACAGCCTGCGGCCGCGGGTCCCTCATGACTTGCAGGGCCGTGCAGTCTGTCAGTCCGTCAGCAAACATGTGGGCCGCGGTCTCTGGGCTCCCCCAGCAGCTCCCACGATGCTCCTGTCCACACGGCTCTCGTACTGTTGGGCGTCTCTGGTGAGAATCACTCAAGGTAACCGTACCAAGGCCTGGCGTCTCATGCCTAGGTCCCCCACTCTTTACCAGGCAGCACGCGTCACGACCACGGGGGGCCTGGGGCAGGACTTGGGACGTGCACCACCTTCTGAGGCACGAAATGCCTCCCCGGTCTGTGGGGAAGGGCGTGGAGTTACATTCCCTGAATCTGATTCTCTCCGTGCAGGAAGGCGGCTCCTGGGGCGAGCACCCCACAGCTCCCTCAGGGCGGGGGGGGTGGGTAGCTCACTGACCTGGACAGACACCCTCACGGAGGTGCTGGGACGCCTACACAAAACCCACAACACCGACAGCAAGCACAACACAGACTAAACTCAGGGCCACTTCCCACAGCCTCTGGACACAGAGGGAAGTGGGATTCAGAGCTTGGGGACAAATGGGGACAAATGGGACAAAACGTTCTGCTTTGTTTTTCCCTCAAGGTTGTAACAAATCTGCCTTGTGAGTCAAACGGCCAGGTGTGCCCAGGCCTTTTCTTCCTGGCCAGTCTGTCTCCTCCGTGACAAGGTCAGGCTCACCTTCAGTCCGCCTGGGAGCCAGCAGCCGGGCCACACTGGCTTGTGGCCAAGTTCTGGGGCACTGACTCCTGTGCTGGGGGGAGGCGCCCGTGTCCCCAGGGCTTTGTCAGCCGTGGGCCTGACGCACCCCTGGGTGGGGCCCGCCGTGCGGGGTCGCCAGTCTCCCGAGGGGGCTTCGGAGGCTGAGGCTCACCTGTGTGAGGCGCGTTATCCTGGCATTCGCCATGGTATGCGCATGAGTACTTAAACCACGTTGGGCAAGCAGAGACCATGCCCCAGTCCCTCAACGGTGTGCCAAACCCCCGGCCTGCGGAGTGTGCTGTCGGAAGTCCACCTGTTGGAGTGATCTGACTGATGGAGCCCTGGTGACACCCTCACGCCGAGCCCTGCAGCCCCACAGTGAGCCGGGGCCTTGACCTGGACCCCAGGACCCCAGGACCCTCACAGCCCAGCCCTCTTCCCTCCTGTTGCAGTCGCCTGGATGACACACCAACTCGACAACGGAAAGGCCTCCTCAGCCCAAAACAGCCGCACTTCCTCCGGCCGGCACCCCCAGGGAGTAAAACTGCCCTGAACACCAAGGGGGTCTGGGGCGCCACCCTCCCCACAGGTGAACGCCGGCCCTCAGCATGGGCGGTGTCACTGCTGAGAAAATCTGCGCACACATGGACCCGCGTGGCTCAGACCTGTGTTGTTCGAGGCTCAGCTTCTGACACCGCCATTTAGTTTAGATTTTTAGAAGTCAGAAAACCATAAAGGTTTCAGAGCTCTTGTAGCTGTTGTAATAGATGCTGGGGTCCTGACTTTATGCCCAGCAGGGAAACAGGACGTGACAGTCATTGGATCAGAAGGGCTGTTACCAGCTGCACACACAGATGCACACATACACACGTGCACACACACAGACACGAAGACACATACACACATGCACATATACATACATACACACATACACACACAAGACACACAGACACACACAGACTCATATACAGACACGCAGACACATACACACGTGCACGCCCAGTACCCGGGTTCCCTAAGGGAGGAAAGGGGCCCTCCCTGCAAGGAGCCCCACGAACAAGGGGCCCCTCCTCGGGTGCTCGCTCGCTGGGTGCGAGGCGCCCGGGGCTGGTGATGCTGGGCTCCCAGGGAAAAGGTTAACAGGTTGCATCGTAGTCTCCAGCCGGTGACCCCACAGGGTCGGGACCTCTGCTCCAGAGAGAGGGCGGCCCTGGGGAGGACAGCGGCCTTCCCTGCACAGGCTTGACCAGGATGGGAGGACGCGACACTGACCCCGACAGGCGATGGCCCTGGCCCCGGGGGGACAGCGACACTCGGGGACCAGTCCTCGGGGAGTGCAGGCGGGGCGCCAAGCGGGCCGTGCAGGCCTGCGGGGTCTGTGATGACACGCGCGCAGCTCGCCCACCTGTGTGAGGGGAAGCGCTGGTGCAGCTCCGAGAGGATCAGGTCCTCCACAACCTGGTCCGTCTCCGTCACCAGGTCTGCCGTGGACGTTTTCGTTGACACGCGTTTTTCCTCAGAAAGGGCTTTCCTGACAATCTGAAGAGAAAGCGGGGAGGTGAGTGAGCTGGGCTGACCCCTGAGAGGGCATGGAACGCGGGCAGGGCTGGGCCCCCTCCCCCGCGCGGGCAGACGGACAGACAGATGGCTCCCCGTGGGGACCGCGGTCCAGGGAGCCCTGGACAGTGAGACGGCCTCTCTTCGGAAGGAAGGAAACATGGTCCTGAGGGTGCGAAGCTGCGCCCTGAGGCCCCAGAGGCCCCGAGAGCGGATCTGGAGATTTCGGACTGAGACCTGCTCCTCCCTCACCTCCTACGCGAGTGTGCTGGTGAATCCAGATCACAGGTGCTCCCACCTGAAACCGGAGAAGCTAAACAAAACGTCTGTGGAGAACAGGAGGGCGGGGCCCTGCTCACAGGGTCGCAGGTTCAAGCCTCCGAGGGGCAGGAGCTGTTCGGGGCCCAGCGGCCCAGCAGGGCGGCCAGCATGTCCAACCCAAACCCACCAGCTCAAAGTGCCCAGGATGTGGGGCCCGAGCCCCAGGGCCTTCTGCTGACCCAACCTGGTTCTGGAGACCCTGGGACCCAAACAGGAGGTTCGGGGGGTTACTCAGTCATGCGAACAGAGCCCCAGTCCTGTTCAGACTGTCCTGTCCCCTCTGCCCAAGTCACAGCTCCAGGCCTCCCACCACGTTGACAGGCCCCCCAAACAACCTCTGACCTGTCCTCCAACACCAGCTGCACCCCGGGTCCTGCAGCTCCTTCAAGGCCCCCCCCCAACCTGACACTGACCTCCAACCCTGGATGAGTGCTTCCGGAGTGCCGGGAGGAGGAGGCAGGACTTCCCAGAGCAAGCAGGACACGACCCCCTATGCTGAGCCCAGACAGGCCTTGTTCGGGTTTCTCATCTTGGCTGCAAAGACAACACGCAGCTAACAGAGAACCCGGAGCGGGGTGCTGTTTGTAAACAACACAGAGGACAGGGGCACGGCAGTCGTGCGCCAGGCCGTGACCAAGGACAGCCCAGCTCGCTGCCCTGTGCTGCCCGGGGCCTTCCTGCGCCTTCCATCCGCCGCGTCCAGCTCATCGCTGCCAGGCTGGGCTCCTTCCAACACCAGTTTGCACACAGCAGCTCCCGCCAAGTGACTCTCTCAGGTTCCTTGTTTACCAATTTCTAACTGAAAGCCAGCAACTGTTGCACCTGCCCAACCTCAGGAACCCCTAGGGTTTGAGCTGGCCTAGACCTCCCGTGCACAGGTCGCATGGCGCAGCCGGAAGCGCTCGCAAAGCCCCGACAGTGGTCTGGCTCTCCCCAGCATAAAGCAACTGGTGGCTCCTGGCCCCTCAAGGACGGCATGACAGCGCCTGTGGCCCCCCCACAGCAGCCCCGTCCTCCTTCCGGTCACAGAGCCACGGAGGTCCACACGCGGGCCTCCTGAGCAGGCAGGTGTGGCCGCAGGACTCGGTCTGCCCAAGGGATGGGAGGGGAGTGGCACGAGCAGCTCCTGAGCCCTGCCCTCAGAAGCCGCTGTTCACACCGCCCCCCAAGCTCTTCTGCTCTGTCACCAGCCGTGGTGTGGGTGTCGGGGAGAGACCAGCTCTGGTCACCTCGGAAAAGCGCTGGGTCAGAGCCACTGCCACAGAGCCACCGGGCCCCGAGCGACTACGGGGGCAGAGCGCCAGCCCACAGGCTCCACCTGGACCTGGACAGGGGAGGAAGCACCTGCCCCGATTCAGCCCCCGCCACCTGCACTCCCAGACTCCGCAGGGTGGGGGCCATCTGCACCCACGGCTGTCACATTTTCACCAGCTCACATATGTGACACTGGATGAGGCCTTCTAATGAGCCAGACTCCCAGGGAACCGCGTGCTGCCTGTGCACAGCGCTCCACAGTTCCCACCTGCTAATACATCACAAGTGACCACAGAGCCTCAGGCCCAGGAGAGACGGGGAGCGCTGCGGGCAGGGGTGGGCCCAGGGTGCCAGGCTCCCCGGGTTCCGGCACCAGCGGGTCTCAGACCGACCAGGGTGACAACACCCCTCTCAGCTTCCCGGCTGTCTCCTCAAACTTGCCTTCTCTGCTTCCTAACCCCACACCGCCTTCCCTGCG